CAACTGATCTGGCCACAGAACTTGATGAGATTCTGGTGGTATGCAAACGGAATTTGCAAGCAGCTCAGGATAGAGCGGAGAAGTTTGCTAATGAGCATCGCCAATTCCGGGAATATAAGGTGGGTGATCTCGTCTTCGTGCGAGTGATCTTTCCGTCAAGTGAGCGGCGGAACACCTTGGTGCCTTTACGGATAGGGAAGAGTGATAAACTCTCCCATCGATATGCTGGTCCATATGAAGTATACGGCTTGATGTATACGGCTGTGGAAGATGGACCAGGATTGAATGACAAGCACAAGTCTCGCAAGCGTTCGCGGAGTCCTTCTGTCGAGAATCGTCGTGATGATCGCCGTGGACACAAGGATGGGAACAAGCATCACAAGTTGAAGTCAGTGGTGACTACTTCAGATGCAAAGGGGTCCAAGAAGCAGAAGTTCTTTGTGAAGAATTATAGACAGGGTTGTCATCATTGCGGCGAACTTGGACACTACAAGGCTGATTGTCCGCAGTTAAAGAACAAGCAGCAGGACAAGAAGAATGGCCAATCTTTTTCTCACGGTAAGTCCGATACTAAAAAGTTGCAAACTTTGCAGCGTGAGGAGGAGGAGACCGACCATTCCGGTCGGAGGAAGCGACTTTCGATCGTTGCTCGTCAGCTCAACTGTGTGTGGAACAAGATGGAGCTTGAGGATACGCGTGAATCAGCTTTAATGCTGGAGGGCGTGTTCCGTGGCGATCCAGTGCGGATTTTACTGGATAGTGGGAGCGATGACAACTTTGTTTCGGCAAAGTTTGTTGAGGAGCATCGCCTGAACACACGTGGAGTTCTTCCATACACAGTGGAAGGTGCAGCTACCTCTGCTCAGCATTTCGATGCTTGTGTCGAGGGGCTGGAAGTGTTGGTTGGCAAAACCACACTTGTGGAGACTTTTTATCTCGCGGATATCCATCGTGTGGATCTCATTCTTGGGATGCCATGGTTGGTGAAGGTGGATCCAGAGATAAAGTGGAGCATTAAGCGTATCTCGCTGGAGTATGGTGGAGTTAAAGATGTGTGGTTTGGCGAGGGCGTCAACCACCAGTTGTTATGCTCTCTGCTACATCTTTGAAGCGGGCTTGTCGTAATGGAAAAGCACTTTCGAGTTACTTGCTGTTTGTTCGTGACTTGGGCGACCAAGGCACGTGTGGGGGAGAAGCAGCAGTACGGGATGTACTCGACGAGTTTTCTGATGTTTTTCCATCTGAACTTCCTCATGGATTGCCTCCATTACGAGGTGTGGAGCATGGGATTACATTGGAGCCGGGGACGCGGCCAATTTACCGGCGTCCATTTCGGTTAAGTTATGCGGAGGAGCAAGAAGTTCAGCGACAAGTCAAGGAGTTACTTGAGTTTGGATTTATTCAACCAAGTAAGTCTCCGTTTGGTGCTCCGGTCTTGCTTGTGAAGAAGAAGGACGGTTCAATGCGGATGTGTATTGACTACCGTGCTTTAAACAAGAAGACAGTGAAGGACAAGATGCCGATGCCACGTGTGGATGATATCCTAGACAAGCTTGGTGAAGCACGAGTGTTTACCAAGATTGATCTGAGGAGTGGATATCATCAGATTGCAATGGATGATGCATCTATCTCCAAGACGGCATTCAACACAAGCTTCGGACATTTTGAGTTTACCGTTATGCCGTTTGGTTTGACGAATGCACCGGCCACATTTACTCGGTTGATGACGGAGGTATTTGGGCGTTATCTTCATGAGTTTGTGGAGATTTTCTTGGACGATATTCTTGTTTTTAGCAAGAATATGGAGGAGCATAGGGTGCATTTGCGCAAGGTTCTTTTGTTACTTCGAGACAACAAACTTTATGCGAAGAAGAGCAAATGTGAATTTGCAAAGTCGGAGGTGGAATATCTAGGCCATATTGTGACATCTAAGGGTGTCAAGACGGATCCAAGGAAGGTGGCTGTGGTGGAAAATTGGCCTACACCGACTACAGTGGCCGAGTTGCGCAGTTTTCTTGGTATGGCTAGTTACTACCGACGTTTCCAGCATAAGTTTGCAGAGGTGGCTATTCCATTGACGCGGTTGTTACGCAAGAATGTGCCATTCGAGTGGAAGACGCCACAAGAGGAGAGTTTTGTGGCGCTGAAACGATTGTTGATCGAGGCTCCAGTGCTTCGCATTGCTGATCCATCGAAACCTTACGAGGTGACATGCGATGCGAGTGGTTATGCACTGGGAGGAGTTCTCATGCAAGAGGGACAGCCTATTGCATATGAGAGTCGAACTTTGAATTCCGCGGAGCAACGCTATTCCACATATGAGCAAGAGTTACTCTCTATTGTTCATGCTTTGCGGATGTGGCGGCACTATCTTTATGGTGCAGTGTTCGTGGTGTTGACAGATCACAAACCACTTGTGTATCTTTTCACACAGAAGGAGTTGAACACTAGGCAAGCTCGTTGGATGGTCAAACTCATGGAGTTTGGGGAGTTTCCTATTGAGCATCGTCCGGGAAAATCAAATGTGGTGGCGGATGCTTTATCTCGTGTTCGTCGTGTGACGATGTTACGAACACGATTTTGTCATCATTTGAGTAAGGTGGTCAGCGAGTTTGGGCAGTTGGTTGAGCATGCTCAGGCTCAGGATGCTGAGGTGGCCTCTTTGCGAGACCAGATGGAAGCTCCTTTCTCATTGGTGGATGGGATTCTCTACTACAATGGCCGTGTCTATTTGCCACGGGTGGATGCGTTAATTACTCAAGTTTTATTCCACTATCATGATCGTCCAGAGGCCGGTCATTTTGGGGGGAAGAAGACGTATGAGTTGATTAAGCGCAACTTTTATTGGAGGAATATGAAGGCTGATATCCTCAAGTATTGTAAATCATGCGAGCTTTGTCAGCGGGTTAAGGTGCCACGGGAGAAGCCGGGGGGACTTTTGCAACCTTTACCTATTCCTCAGAGCCGTTGGTGTAGTATCTCTATGGACTTCATCACTTGTTTGCCACGAACACAGAGGCAAAAGGAGCAAGTATGGGTCATAGTAGATCGGTTGACGAAGTATGTGCGGTTGTTGGCTCTTCGGAAGACTGTCACTGCCTCAGACTTGGCTGCGGTTTACTTGGAGAAGGTTTTTCCTGATTTTGGTTTGCCGGAGGACATCATTAGTGATCGAGATTCAAAGTTCACCAGTGGATTTTGGAAAAGTTTTGCAAAGGCTATGCAAGTGACTTTGAAACTCTCGAGTGGAGATCATCCTCAGACGGATGGGCAAACTGAGCGTGTGAATCAGGTGGTGGAGGATATGCTACGTTGTAGCATTGGTCAAAGGCAAGGACAGTGGGATCTATATCTTCCGTTGGTGCAATTTGCTTACAACAATAGCCAACACAGTGGAACCAAGCTAAGTCCTTACTTTGCGATGTTTGGAAGGCATCCTCGAACAGCGGTGGAGTTGGGATTGCATTTGAGTAAGGATGTTCAAGAAAAGCTTGATTCCGAGGCAACTGATCTGGCCACAGAACTTGATGAGATTCTGGTGGTATGCAAACGGAATTTGCAAGCAGCTCAGGATAGAGCGGAGAAGTTTGCTAATGAGCATCGCCAATTCCGGGAATATAAGGTGGGTGATCTCGTCTTCGTGCGAGTGATCTTTCCGTCAAGTGAGCGGCGGAACACCTTGGTGCCTTTACGGATAGGGAAGAGTGATAAACTCTCCCATCGCTATGCTGGTCCATATGAAGTGCTGGAGCGCATTGGTAAAGCGGCTTATCGGGTGCGGCTGCCAGCTGGGGTGAAAATTCATCCGGTATTTTATGTCAGCCAGTTGAAAGGTGTACTATCTCGGAGTGACGGGCCCAATGCCTCCTTGATGTATACGGCTGTGGAAAATGGACCAGGAGCTTGAGCAGGATCCCCAGAAAGGGTGATCACCGGTACAACTCGTCCTTGGGACAAGGACTTTGTTGGGGGGGAAGAATTGTTAGGCGCCAGCTTTGACTACGTGGTCAACGTCGGTCAAAAGGAGGCTCAAGGGTATATTAAGGCATGTTAGGGTGTAAGGGATAGGATCCTAACAATGGTATCAGAGCCCAGTTCGATTCTCGTGGCTGACGAGTGGGGCAGGAATATTCTGAAGGAATATTCAACATGGTGGATCTAGAGGGAGAACCAAGGTTTGGTAGACCCTAAGAGAAGGACCATGGTGACCGGATGGTGGCCTAAGTATGATCGCGGACGATCATTCCCTGACGAGGGGGAGGATTGTTAGGCACCAGGTCAGGATAATAGGATAAGGAAAGGGCCCTGCAATCAAGTGATCACCCCTTTAGCCAGTTGGCTTAGGGTGTAAGGGATAGGATCCTAACAAAATGCCGTTCATCGCGAGGAAAGCTTCCCAGTCTTGGATCTTGGCGCCGCCTTGAATTCGAGCGAGGCTCGAGCAGCGCTTGTCCCGCAAATCCGTGAAGCTTGCATGAAATGGGGCTTCTTCCAGGTGTGCTATTGTTCTTGCTGGGTGTTGGATGTCCCAAAATCTCTTTGTTGCATCACTGGGTCTAGAATTGATCGAGAATTGTGTGATCTTCGCCATACAGGTGATCAATCACGGTGTTCCCCATTCTTTGGTGGATGAAATGCAATCGGTGGCTCGCGAATTCCACGCTCTCCCAAACGAGGAGAAAATGCGCTACTTCTCCACAGACACCGAATCCCGAATGAGGTATGGAACCAGCTTCAATGTCACACAAGACAAGGTCTTTAGCTGGAGAGATTACCTCCGCCATAGCTGCCTCCCACTGGCCGAGATGCAAGAACTCTGGCCTGAAAAGCCAGCATCTTACAGGTATAAATACCTTCTCGCCGTCCTTTCTTAACATCGCTGGTATATGATCATCTTATAGGAAAGTTACTGCCGATTACTCCACTCGTGTTCGCAACCTTGCAAAGTTCCTCCTGGAGATCATCTCCGAGAGCTTGAATCTTCCAAAGGATACATCGACAAGGCATTCAATGGCTGCTCACAAGTGATGGCTCTCAACTTCTATCCTGCTTGCCCCGAGCCCGATATGGTGCTGGGAATCGGCCCACACTCGGACCCCGGATCGATCACGCTGCTGCTCCAAGATCACGTCGAGGGTCTCCAGGTGATGCACGGTCACGAGTGGTACTCCGTGAAGCCCATACCTTATTCGTTCGTGGTCAATCTGGGCGACCAGATCCAGGTCAGCGTTCACTCTTTCTTTACTAGCATTGACTGACTGGTCAAAGTTAATGTTTTCTTTTTATTCTCTTGCAGATTTTGAGCAATGACAAGTATAAGAGTGCCCAGCACAGGGCTGTGGTTAATAGCAGTGAAGATCGAATGTCCATTCCAGTGGCAATGGGGCCAAATTGGGAGAGTTTGGTGCACCCAGCAAGCAAATTGGTGGAGGGCTCTCCACTGTTTAAGCCTATGGTTTATAAGGATTATATGACTGCTTTGCAAGCTGGGGGACTTAATCGCCAGTGGCTCTTGGACACTCGGAGGATTTAATTTGATTTTGAAATGAAAGTTAATTATCATGGAGATTTTAAGCTTTTTAAGTTTAGAAAGTGCATTGTGTTCAAAATAGGAGTTTACCATAACTACTAAAATAAAAGCACTCTTCACGCCTCCCTTTAAACACCATCCTCATTCACTCTCTCTCTCTCTCTGCTTACCTGGCAGTGATGTGGCATCAGGCCTTCTTTTTGTTTGTTGATGATGATGGCATTAGGCCATCAGTGCACTCCCTCTCCCGTCTGTCACAGCTGCACACTCCTGCCTACAGCTATTGCCCACACTCCCACCCACCCGCTGCATGTCTGCCCAAGCCTAGCATGCACCCTAATTGTTTCCAAGTGGCCACAGCCCCAACACTTGGCCAAATTTCAATTAGCATATGTGTGGATGCCTTTCTACATGCTTTATATGGCTAATGAGTGTCATAGATGACTATGATCAATAGTAGAAGTGGTGATCCACTTTTGCTATGAAATCTTCTCACAAATTTATTCATATGCAATGTAAGTATATAAAGAGTTTTTTTAAATTTATTCTTTGCTAAGATTAAGTTTTTTGTTTAAAGAATTTTTCTTTTTTGTCTTCCTCTACCTAGTAAAAGAAATTGCTTCTAGACTACTAAATTTTTTTCTTTTACTTGTAATTCTTTCTACCAAAGGTTTTGCCTGCTTCGAGGATGTATTATAACTATTAACGTGTTGTTGAAATTTTAAAATTTATCTTGTAAACATTAGTTTCAAAAGTTGCATCAAAACTCAATAAATTATTATTTATAAAGTCCACCATGTTTTGCAATTGCTAAATTGTTTGAATCTTTATGGTAAAACAATCTTTACCTTGATCACCTTCCTAATAGAAAAATATTTTCTTGGGATTTGTGTTCTTTTAAATACATACACATTGTGCATCATTCTCATGTAGTCAATAAGTTAAAAGCAAATACTTCCTATGCAAATTGTTAATATTCTGCATAGTTAGAAAATCATCTCGACAAGGAGGTTCACCAGCTGACTTGTTCCTTCCCACAATCTGTACATGCTCATTATAAATCTAATTTGATATGAAATTCTACTGAACCATATAAATCACCCAATGTCAAATATCTATTGAAAGCTTCTGAGGAAATAATGACTTTCCTCTAGTCAGATCAAATTGACCATGATAAGGAATCTCATTCTTATCACAATGCTCTTTATAATAATATGTGATCTGCACATAATCCGGCCATTTATAAAATTGTTTGACTAAAAAATTGCAAAAGCAGCCATGTTTGCTAGAACTTTGATTTGATCTACTTCTTGTGAGACACAAAATCCCTAGGCCTCAAAGTGGAGCCGAAAGGGTGCCACGTGGTAGTGGCCGAAGTGAAAGCTAAACGAGCGTAACACGTTTGGACTAAAAACTCCAACTTGAAAGATCGAGAGTGGGAGTGGAACTCTCAACGAAGTGCTTAAGGAACAAGCACGGAGCAAGCAATAAGTGAGTCTTTAGAAAAGGGACACAAGAGGACCAACACATGACACATGGCAGAATCCGAGATGGACCCGAGATGGAGTCCAAAATGAACCCAAGATGGACCCAAGATGGAGTCCATGATGGAGTCTAAGATGGATTCGAGATGGAGTCCGAGATGGAGTACGAGATGGAGTCTAAAATGGAGTCCGAGATGGACCCGAGATGGAGTCTAAGATGGAGTCCGAGATGGAGTCTGAGATGGAGTTCGAGATGGAGTGTGAGATGGACTCGAGATGGACTTGAGATGGACTCGAGATGGAGTCTGAGTTAGACTCGAGATGGAGTCTGAGTTAGACTCAAGATGGACCCGAGATGGAGTCTGAGATGGAGTTCGAGATGGACCCGAGATGGACCCGAGATGGAGTTCGAGATGGAGTCTGAGATGGACCTGAGATGGAGTCCGAGATGGACCCGAGATGGAGTCCGAGTATATCATCAAGGAAACTCAATGATGAAACTTAACTACTAAAGATGGTAGATAGTATGCCAAATAACTTACCAAAGATAACTTAAAGAACATAAAGTATCATTGACTGGCAAGCACAATGCTCATGAATGTATCACCTGAAAGAAATAACATTCTAATCTATCGAAACTAACTCAAGCAATAATCAACAGAATAGAATGAATGTGGCAAACCAACAAACACTCATTCATGCCAACTATCACACTAGCCAATCTAAATAGATCCCAGTCAACAACACCAAGGAACTCAAGTTGCCTAAGCAAGTGTCAGCAACATCCTACTGATGTCTCAAACCCAAGAGATCAATCCAGAGCAAACCACAAACAACATGTGGTATTGCGAAAAACTATAAGCTATCAAAGAGAATAACTAACCATCATGAAAGATCATCAATCATCCTATTAATAATGAGATATAAAATCATCGTCAAAGAGGAAATCCACCATCCCAAAGAATAGTAAATCATTTTATATCAACAACAATCAAGCAAAACCTTTTGACAAGGATAATCAACTATCTGAGATGATAGTCAATCATCATCAATGATTGCGAGATGCAAAAGACAACTTCAACATCGAAGCTAATGAGCTAAAATGCCTTCCCCTAACAACTTATAACAAATGGAACAATGAGCATGAAACTTAAAGAACCAAAAGCTTGAAGAAGCCTATTGTAAGCGACTAAATTTTCCATTCTACTTTAGTCACTTAACCACACCTCCGACCACTTGGAGGAGTCTCATTCACAACCTCCATAAGTCCAATCCAGGACTTGGGACTTGCTAGCCCCGAGAATGGCATCCATGCCACTCAACATTTGCACTTGGTCCAAGTGCTCCACGTGTCCGATCCCATGACCGACACTCAAAGGCACCACCGACATAGCAGCCCGTTACGCTAAGGCCATGCCCAATCACCTTTGCCACACTGGTAGTCCACTACCACTTGCATCACAGTCTTGGCTCTCCAAGACTAGGCAAACCATCCGTGAGTGGTCATCTCAGATCCACTCCTTAGCATCCTTAGGATGCCCACCAACAAGGGGAATAGCCTTCCCCAATATCCCTCTGTCAGTCCCCACTAAGTCCTTTTCTGCCCCTGGCCGTGTTTGCCAACACTGCCACTGGATCGAGACCCACAGGCCCGACCATTAAGTCCCACGGTCCTCTGGGACTTCCTCACCCCACGACTGTGTCCTTGGTCACTACCCCAGAGGACTGCGCCTCTTACTCTCCACAGTCTGGGCCTTTGGGACAACATTTCGGAACACCGTGGCCTTACGCAAGCCACCTGGGTACTCTCCTCGCCTTTTGTCTTTAGGTGCTCTAGCCATGGGCTTAGAGCGAGGTTCCGTTGAGCCACGATAGGTATCCAAGTAGGTAGTGCCACCCACACTTGGACTGAGAGCATCGGCCAGTCGATCTCCCGGGGGAACTAGAGCCGGCTCTTGAACACTTCACCAAGTTACCCCACTTGTCGGTCTGTGTTCACTCTAGTCTTGGACTTCCCAGTGGGCAGCTCCTCACCCAACCCTGGGTCCGGCCTTCCTGGGCCAAACTGGCCTTTCCTGGCCAAACTGGCTCCACTGCAGTCCTCCCCCTACTATACTTTTGGAGCTCACCAAACCCCCCAGGGTCTGGGAGACGAACGCTTTGGGCTTTCACCCTCTCAGGCTCCGGACTCGGACTTGGACTCGGACTCAGACTCGGACTCGGACTCGGACTCGGACTCGGACTCGGGCTCGGGCTCGGTCTCGGCCTCGGCCTCGGTCTCGGTCTCGGTCCCGATCTCGGTCTCGGTCTCGGTCTCGGTCCCGGTCTCGGTCTCGACTTCGGACTCCATCTCGGACTCCATCTCGGACTCCATCTCGGGTCCATCTCGGGTCCATCTCGGACTCCATTTCGGACTCCATCTCGGGTCCATCTCGGACTCCATCTCGGACTCCATTTCGGGTCCCTCTCGGGTCCACCTCGGACTCCATCTCGGACTCCATCTCGGGTCCATCTCGGACTCCATCTCGGACTCCATTTCGGGTCCATCTCGGGTCCACCTCGGACTCCATCTCGGACTCCATCTCGGACTCCATCTCGGGTCCATCTCGGACTCCACTTCGGACTCCTTCTCAGACTCCATCTCGGGTCCATCTCGGACTCCACTTCGGACTCCAACTCGGGTCCATCTCGGACTCCACTTCGGACTCCAACTCGGGTCCATCTCGGACACTCCCACGTGTCATGTGTTGGCCCTTTTGGGTCCCTTTTTGGAGCCTCGCCTTTTGCTTGCTTCGTGCTCGTTCCTCGAGCACTTCTTTGGGAGTTCCACTCCCGCTCTTGACTTTTCAAGTCGGAGCTTTTGGTCCAAACGTGTTACGCTCGTTTGGCTCTCGCTTCGGCCACTACCATGTGGCGCCCTTCCGGCTCCACTTTGGGGCCTAGGGATTTTGTGTCTCACAACTCCACCACCCATAGACGAAGTTCGATGTCCTCATCGAACGGTGAACCATTTTATAAAGTAACACCCGCATGTGTTACCATTTCCATCCTTGGCGCGTAGCCAATATTTGTCAATGGTGTGACATTGAAGGCTCACCATGCCTTCTCCACATTCGTCAATGTTTGGACATTGAAGGCTCACCATGCCTTTTTGCATATCCTCTAAGGAGGGTAGTCTCTTCAACTCAGAGACTGATTGGACCACATATAATGGTTCTCTCCTTTTATTGGTTTAGTTCTCGCTAAACCTCTTAGAGATCCTTCTCTAAGTCAATCCCACTACTCCTTCTCGAGTAGTCTCAATTTCCATCGATATAACCTTTGCACTTTGGAACTTTGAATTTTGACTTCTTGGAGTCAATTTCCTAGGTGTCTCCGACACCTTGCCTTGCACCTTTTGTGCAACTCCACTTCCCATCCTAGGAAGTTCTCTACTTGAGGGCACCATCATCCTCTCTTCTATTTCGTGCCAAAGTTCCAGTTATCATACTTTGTGCTAGGGCTGTTCATGGCCCTATCATTTGGCTACCTTACCGCTCCCTCCCTTGGAGCTT